TTCCCGATATCATTGTCGAGTATGCCAGTGTGGCTAGAATGTTGGATTTTGTACGCTCCAATATTTGAACAATATTTCAACAATGTTTGAACAATTCGCCGACCAACTCGTATCATTCATTCATGTGTGTACATAATCTATCGATAAAAATCCACACGCAATTGTGTTAAGATATTTCTGATAAATAAACAACCTAATCAATTACTACAACACTCCATCCGTTTTCTCTGAGTTGGCAAGTGTGGTGTGGTGAGGTGTGGTGTGGTGTGGTGTGGTGTGGTGTGGAATGGTCATTTATTTATTTGCTTTTGATCATCAGGATGCTGCTTGATCACGATGCTTGAATAATCGCATGTTGCGAGAGAGTTTGAAATGGATGAAGACAGTTCGGTTCATATGGCAGTCATTCGTTCGTTGTGAGAACAGTAGGGTAATAGATGTGATTATATAATTTGGCATTATCTTTCTGATCGTGATTGCGAACATTGTCACAAAATGTGAGAAACTATCGTCCCGCATTCTACCACTAACTATCATCCATCTTTGCTGTGTGGAAAATTAGATGTCAATAGATCACCATATCTTCATGCAATCACATTTTGAATACACACTTAATAAAACTGTTACATATTGAATTATTTTAGTATAGTTGGATCATATCAGCATGACTGATTAGTGCACAGCTTCTCCTTTTCAATCAATCAATAATATATGATTGGACTGTGAAAACCAACTGATTAGGAGAGAACAATAAAGCTGAGTTCATAGTTTACTGATCATTATGTGGATTGAAGTCGTAATAGATTGATCTGAGTTAGGATAATCATTGAATGCTGGAAAGCACTGGATAACCGTTTAATTCTAATAGAAGACTCCTCAGTCAGCTGACTAATAACGAATATAATCAACAAATTGCACCAAATTACTCCATCAAGTTTCCCTTCAGCTAAATAGAATTTTCTCCAGTCCTTTAAGGTTCATTGGTTCATTGGTTATTTTGTGAAATTTATTAATACTATGTAAACTGTCCAATGAGGTCTCCTGGAAATGATACCTTATTAACAGACCGGAAACAGAAACAACAAATATGGTGGATGCAGCACCAATAGTCAACTGTGAAAATGTAAATCACTAGTTGTCGATACAAAGAATCCATGGATGTGTTTGCATCACCACATTCCAGATTCAACCCTGTCGTCTACAATATCGAACCATCGAATTTACACTTCTTCTTCCAATCAACTCCACAAACCTATAATCCTTCATCATGTTCAGACACTGTGACACATTATTCACATGTAACTAACTTCCTGCCAATCTGAGTGTTTCTGATAATCACTTCACAGATGATCGCAGTAATAATAATAATGATAACAATAATTATTATGATTATGGTTATTTTGGTCGCATCGATATATTTCTACAAATGTCGATGCATTGACAAGTGTTGTTATATGAACAAAAAACTGATCAACAATGAATATCATCTGTAAGATATAAAAAGTCGAACAGATCTCAACTGTCTAATCATAACCCTTGATTCTCCACTAGATCGTGTTGAACATCAAGTGTATTCCACAGTTCAATCAATATGTCATGTGAAGAAATGATCGGTGTTTTTTCCAATGGACATCTGCAACTGGCACAAAAACCATTCTATCACCTGATCGCTTGATAAGTGAGAAAGAGAGAGAGAGAGAGTAGACGAGTCAAATGGAACACTACTCGATTCATTCCTTACTCCGATTTCCAACTCACAACTCCAATTCAGATCAGTGCAGAATGACACACGAGCAAATAGATGACTAACATGACCATAACGAACCGACAATTAAGAAAATACAAATATGTTCAAATCTGGGAATCGGAGTGGTAAAATAGGGTAGTGAAAGTTGTGTTTAAATTACCATGGATTTGGAGCTGAATCGGGTATGGCAGTGAATCATGCATCGAACGAAAGCTTATGGTGTGTAAAATAAAGCAGTTGCAAAACTAAACGTTAGTGTTCTACAAGCTTTCAATTAAGTGAAATCAAGTCGGCCAAAATAGCTTCTTTTGTTGGTTATGACTCATTTGTTTCTGTTTATGTCCACACCAACCTTCATCTCCTAGTCACTATCATATTCCCACTTCAAAATTAGGTATGTAATGAGGAAAGTATCAAAATTTGAGACATGATGTGATCAGCAAACGAGTAAACAGCTAATCGAATGTTCCAATATCCCTAATTACTCACCTAAAAATCTCACTTATCAAATACGTCAAACGACAAACGAAAATTACCCACTTAAGTAAATATTGCTATCGTTCTTAGATATTGTTTAATGGAAGAAGCATTTACCAACCTTGTCTCACTTCATACCTATCAACAACTGGATCAAATAGTTCAATATGATTTATGAGTGTGATCAGCATCGACTTTTGAAAGGCACTATACTCGAATATAGTGTGTGTTGGAGAGAGTGTTGGAAGTGGAAGAGAGGTCAATTTATGAATTCAGTAGGATGGATCGATTAGAACGGAGATGTATCATAGTGCAGAATAACATTGATAGGTATTACTAAGAAAACATGATAGTCCCAATCACCATCAGAAAGATAATGCCAAATTATATAATCACATCTATTACCCTACTGTTCTCACAACAACAACAACAAGTGCCTATTATTATACGATGATGATGTCGATTTCTGTAATCTGTTTCGTTGCTACCACTGACTGACTGACTGACTGACTGAATGAATGAATTAATTAATTAATTAATTAATTAATGAATTAATGAATTAATGAATGAACGAACGAATGACTATCACATGAACCGAACCGTCTTCAGCCCTTTCCTACTCTCTCGCAACATGTGTATATTCATGCATCGTGCTCAAGCAGCATCCTGATGATAAGCAGCAAATAAATAGCTGCCCATTCCACTAACACTTCATTGATCAACACACACGCAAATCAGACCAGATCACATCACATTAAACCACACCACACCACACCACACACACACACCTCACCACACCACACTTGCCAACTCAGAGAAAACGGATGGAGTGTTGTAGTAATTGATTAGGTTGTTTATTTATCAGAAATATCTTAACACAATTGCGTGTGGATTTTTATCGATAGATTATGTACACACATGAATGAATGATACGAGTTGGTCGGCGAATTGTTCAAACATTGTTGAAATATTGTTCAAATATTGGAGCGTACAAAATACAACATTCTAGCCACACTGGCATACTCGACAATGATATCGGGAAGGTTTGGCAGTGTGACACCATGTGATACGACACCGAGTACTGGACCTTGAGGGGATGGAAGGAGAGGTCCACCACTGTCACCTGGAGCGGGTAACTGTCCGAAATTCTGACCTGATTTCACACAAATTGGATCGCCATTGGTCGCGTGTCGGCATTCCATTATAGTCGCTCGACCTGTGTCAAATAAAGAACAGAACGGAATAGGACAGAATAGAAGAGAACAGAACAGAACAGACAAGTGAATTTACAAAACATCAACTGACAACAACTATCCACCTTCAAACTATGCACACAACAAACACTCCACATGCAATCCCACATGTGCACCACATTCGACAATCAAGTCACTGTCCATCTCACCACCATCCCTCCATATACATGAAACTTATTGACCATCTACTTCATGTACAACAACACACATCCATCGTTTGCACAGATATCTCACGAGTCTTCTCTCATCCAAGTGATCTCACTCTCACAATCATTCAATCACTCAATCACTCACTCAATCAATCAAACAACCAATAAATCAATCACATATCCCATCCCTCCACATTCCATCGCATCACACCTATCTAATGACCGAGATGCAGATTGAGTCACTCTGCTAGTGAACTGTCACTGGCACATCCGAACACAGTTATAGAGGCTCTGAACAACACAACAACCGGATCAGATAGACAGATGTTGTTTGTTCACCAGCACCACCAACTCAATCACTCACCTTTCTTTAAAATTCCACCATTTCTACGTTGTGGATCACGGTCATTATCATCCCTTCCATAACCAACAATGAAAACCGGAGTTCCAGGTCTCGGTATATCGGTTGGCTGTGGCAGACTGAGCACTCTGATTCCACTCTGTAAGTTGACCGTTTGGGTGAGCGTTATAATTGCAATGTCGAATCCACTGAGTGTCTGTTGGATTGGTCTCCTCTGTCGTGCCGACATACAAGAGGGCATATATCCTGGTGCTACCACCACTCCAGACGGTTGATGATGGATGCCTTGTTGGTCGCCATTCCTCAGTGTGAGAAATGAAACCTGAAATACACAACGTATGTTCACATTAGATCTATGCAAACCGACTGCACACACACTAACACACACACTGACACACACGCACACTCACACAGAAACACACTGTGAAATAATTCGATCACATTGAGCAACAATGTGTTTCAGTGTGATCTCTTACCCGAACGACTGGCAGCGGTGAGCAAACACAATGACCAGCTGTGAGCACTGCCCTTGTTGACACTAATGAGCCTGTACACATTGTGTTCTCTGTCGTCACAAATGCGATGAACGGGAATTCAGTGCGTTGTTGCACAGGTTCACCACTACGTATCAACCATGTTGACACACGTTCAACTGTTAGACAGTAGGTGAACAGCGTCACCACCAGAAATCTCCATCGGTTCAACATCACTATGTGACCGTTGCAATCAACCACCTACCTACAATCTCGCAACACATTCACCAATTTATATGCGTCAATAGTCCCTGACTGTTGAGTACATGTGAGTGATTTTGCATGTGTGTCAGTGTCAGTGTCAATGTACTACAATTATGCACTATTAATAAAACCGACTTGCACTCCACTTCAATCATGCATTGTTGTTGTTGTCCTCGTCGTCGTCACGGTTTCACTTTGTGATCATGATCATGATCATGACACGCCCCAATTATTAATGGGGAAGTGCACGATTCGCGTGTGTTGTCGTGGCATATTTCACTGTATGACAATCTTGCTCAACCGTTCACGAGAGTATGTCAGCATAAGAAGTAGCACAGCACTCATCATAAACCACATCATCATCATCATCATCATCATCATCATCATCATCATCATCATCATCATCATCATCATCATCATCATCATCATCATCATCATCATCATCATCATCATCATCATCATCATCATCATCATCATCATCATCATCATCATCATCATCATCATCATCATCATCATCATCATCATCATCATCATCATCATCATCTCATCATCATCATCATCACCGCAGTCTTCGTTAGAATCATATCATCAGGAGTGTGGTGACATGATGCATGATCACTGTCAATCGCAATCCATTCACAAACTACAACGAATCAAATGTGAATTGGTGGAATTTGTGCAAGTTGGACAAGTTGGATAAACAATGGCAACGAAGATGCAAATGATGCTTCGAAGTAATATGCGAGCACATTGACGAATCGACTGGTAGACAGAAGGAAAGCATGCGTGTATGATAAATGGATTGTGAGAATGGGAACAAAGTGGATGAGGAGATCACGGTAGTTGTATATGACATATGTATATGGTTTAATCAGACCAGATGTGATTGGTATTTATTCATTGACCGGTTACTCAGTTGTTGTTTAGCATTGCTACAATCGAAATAATAATATTGATGATTGTGGCAGTGAGAGTGGAGTGAGATTTTAAGGAGTGAATAATGCCACTTAATTGGTAGTGCATGATAAAAACACTGTAAGATGTTGTACTACGGTGTGTGGTGTGGGGCAATTGTTTTCGGTGTGTAACTGCCTTTCACCAGACACCGTAGTAAAATATCTCCATAGTGTTTTTATCATTTACTATAATTTAAGTGGTAATAGTCATTCCTATGACGTCTGGCTCCCCTCTCACTACCACAATGATGAGTATTTTTATTTTTATTGTAATGATGCTAAAACCCCTCCTGCAACTGTACGAGTGTGCTGCCGATCACGTAGCCGGTTAAAAGACGAGGTTTGTCAAGTAGTCCGCAACGCCATCCCATAGGAGACAATCTCGCCATAAAGCGCTAACGAAAATAAGCAAATTAAGCAACTTAAACTCTGAACTGGGAGTTGAAGGAAGAATTATGATGCGCTTTGATGAAAGTCGAGGTACTTCCGAATTCACGAGACCGGTGCCCTACTAACAATCTAGGCAACAAGTTTTATATGTACACGGAACTTTCGGACAATGCGGGAAACCGTG